TAATTTCACACCCGGTACAGGTTCTATATTACTTTTCTGGACTACCGAGCACCCTGAGTCAAATTTCTCATATTCAACCCATTTCTCTTAGGAATCTCAATAGTCAATTTCTTTTTCTGAAATTTTCATTTTAAACGATCCAGAATTGTCCAAAACCCGTACTCTCGCGGTACTCATTTTTTTTTGCAGTTTCCCGCTTTAACTGACTCAGGAAAATTCTGTTTCAGGAACTTTTACCATTTTCCTTACTTCTAATATTTCTACTCTTTTTCTAACTGATCATTTACCAAATATTCAATTTTTCATAACTAATATACCCGTTAAAATTTCTAACTTTTAACCGGTATTTTACTATTCACAACTGATATTTACGAATTTTCTCTATAAAAATATTCGTATTATAACTTTATACTTTTTAGGTAATTTTATCCCGTATATAAAATTTTTACATAACACTTTCTTAATTACATCAATATTTTTACTACTTTCTGTTCCGAGAAGAATTATAATTAAATATCAGACTGTCTGAATTTGACTTAAAATTTTCCCGGTCATTATATTTTTCTTCCAAAAAAATTTGCCCCTGAATTTGCTGCCATTGGAAAACGATGGCCGTTTTTTTTCCACGAAAAGGAAAGTGAAAAAAAAAAGAGTTTCCTCTCTCTGGGTTTTTTTTTTTTTAAATTTCAAATTATACATCAAAACGACGTAGCGTTTATATCCTCCTCAATCAATCAGCTGTTTTTTGTCAGTTGTGTATCACCATTTTCGCGCCCTTGTCAGAATCATGATTCATTGGAAATCGCCGTTGACACTTTTCTATCCGGCGAGAAAATGGCAACGAAATAGATTCCTCTGGCGGTGGGGCCGATCGGAGAACCAATGAGAGGAAGCGAAAATCAGCTGCTTTTGTCCTTTCTCTGACACCAATTTTTTTCTCGCCTTTTACAGTTTCCGCGCCGATTGAACGGCGATCAGAATCATCAGAAATCGCCGGCGAAATTCTCAGTTTGGCGAGAAAATGGCAGTGATTTCGAATTGCAAGGTGGGACCGGCCCGAGAACCAATGGGAGAATCGAACGAAAGTCTCTGACATTGCCGTACTCTGGTAAGCCGTAAGCAAAACCTGCTTTATCAGAAAATCGTACCATTCTGATTTCCTTTGTTTCTCCATAATTGATTATTTGTTTATTACTAATGCTTGATTGGGTTTTTAGGATTTCATCTAGAAAAACTTCAAATTTATCCTTTTTTTGGATAATTGATTTACAATTCCATTTTATCGTTAGGGTTCAGATGAAATTTTATGCTCTTTTTCCAGAAGAATAAAAGAGAGAGAAATCTGTCCTCTTTGACCTAGGGATTTTGACCCAAGTTTATTCACAATTTATTTTTAAGATTTCGTTTATTTTATCGATTTTAATTTAAAATTTAAGTTTTGTTATCATAAAAAACTCTTAGAAATAGTCACATCTAACTTTTTTGTTACAGTAAAAAGTTCTTATATAAAGTCACATCTCAATTAGAATTAAGAACTCAAATCAGCGAACTAAACGAGCCTTAAATACTTGTGTTTTGAAGGTATCATTTATTTCACCGATTCAAGTTTTCAATTCTAGATTTTTACAGTTAAAAACTCTCAAAAAATGTCACATCTAACTTTTTTTACTACAGTTAAAAGCTGTTAGAAAATGTTACATCTCAGCTCGAATTGAAAACTCGAATCTGCGAAGCGAACGACGCCAAAGACTAGAAACTGTAAACACAACCCTACTTTTCAGAGAAAGAGACCCTTAGGGTGCGTTTGTTTAGGTGGAAAAGAATAAAATAAAATGAAATGAAATTATAGTTTGATATTTAGTTGGATTTATAAGAAAGGAATTATCATTCAAAAGGAATGGCCATTCACCAATTTTGTGTGAATCATCATTCCATTTTCATATGGGAAAAATGACCATTCTAAATTCTTTTTTTTATTCTTTTCCATAATTACCCTTCAATATTATTATATAATTAAAATATATTACATAGTAGCTATATCTTATAATATAATATATAATAAAAAATATTATAATATAATACAGTTATAATAATATAATAATTAATTTATATTATAGTTATAAATTATAATATATTTATTTATTATTTTATAATAATATATAATATATTGTAACGTAATTATATCTTATAATATAATATATAATAATATTATAATATAATATATATAATGATAAAATATAATATAATTGTAATATTTTAACAAATAATACCATAATTATACTAATAATTTTAATATTATTATTTTATTATATAATATAATTATTTTTATTATATTAATAATATAATAATAATTAATATAATTAAATATTAATATAATCTTATAATTCTAATATTATTATCTATTATAGTTCATTACACATGATTATTAATTATAATATATTTATTGTATATAATATAATAATTATATATTATATTGTAATTATATATATTATATTATATTATATTATAGTATAATATAATATAGTTGTAATTTTTAATTATATTATAATTGAATTATTATTGTTTATTATATAATCTTATAATATATTTTATAATATTATAATTATATTAATAATTTTAATAATATTATTATATTATATATCATAATTATATAATATATTATATAATAATAAGTTTATTATATTATATTACATTTTATATATCATATTGATAGATAAAATATTAGTGTTATATATAGCATAAGGGTAAGTATGTCAAGTTCCATTCCAGAGAATTCTTAAAATTACAACCAAATAAATGAATCAACTTTCTTTTCCATTTCATTCACATTACCATTTTTATTCCCATTCCCATTACCATTCTCCCATTGTAACTAAACGCACTCTAAATAAAATTTTAGTATTCTTTAATCTTTCTGAGACGCTAAAGGAACGAGGAATATAATTCTCACAACATTCAGAATCTAATGCTAATTTTGCTGCAACTTTCATCTCTTAGTGACGGCGGTCTTTTTCTTTTCTTTTTTTTTCTTTTTAATGAACAGTTTTTTGTTCATAGTTACTGATATTTTTATTTGTATTATTATTTGAAAACAAAAGAGAATAATGCTAATATTATCTTTCTCAGATTAAAGCATGTCACTTTAAAATACTGAACAAGCCCAAAAGACATAGATCAGTTAGTGATCTTCCAAATCCAAGAGGTGAATTTGAGGAACATCACTTTTTAAGGATTGACATTTTGAAATGTATTACTTTTCTGGACACTTTAAGCCTATTTTACACATAGAAGAAGATATTGCTGAATATGATGTTCACTCATATGTACATAAGCTTGGTCCATAGAGACTTGGGTTACCCGCTTACCACTAATCAGGGTTGAAAGAAGGAAACTTGTAGTAAATAGTAGATTTATGAAACTAAATTAAGTAGATAGCAGATTCATTTACGACTGTTTCACACGGCCTCCCCCAAAATATGTTTATCCTTTAGGAGATTGTGTAGATATAGATATAGAAACAATCCAATTTCCACTAAAAAAGTATAAATTAACAAAAAGAGTATACGGCAACAAGATGTAGAGCGAGGAGTCTGAAACGACAATGAAGTATAAAACAACAAGAAAGTGTAAACGACATAAACAAATATATTATTATTAATATAATACACTATAATATATAATAATATTATAATTATAAGATTATGTTAATATTTAATTATATTAATTATTATGTTATTATTAATATAATAAATATAATTATATCAATACAATATGATATATAATATATTATAAAATAATAATTACAATATTATATTATAATTATAATATCATATTATTAAAATAATTATAATATTATAATAACATCATATTATTGAATAAAATAATAATATTAGAGTTATTAATATATTTATGATATTATTTGTTACAATATTACTATTATATTACTATTATATTATATTATGAGTCTGAATTTTAGATTTGGAAGATTGTAAATTTTAAATTTCATTAGGTGTATTATGAGTATTATGAAAGTTTTATTAATTGTACTATGCTGATTCTTGCACAATCTAAAAGCTAAAGTTGTCTTTAAGCTGGTTCTGATTTTGGCTGTAAATTCTTAAAAAGTTCTTCAAAAAACACTTTTAAAGAGATTTACCAACACTAAAATCAGCTTTTGCTACAAGTAGAAACTGATGTTGAGATGGAAAAACAATACCAAACTAAGCAATTGTATTACGTCCTTATAGATTAGGGTAATTCTTTAGCATGTAAAAGTGACAAATCAGGGACTATAATTGAACTAGTTGCAATTCAAAGTTCATTAGTGAAATTAACTCGAATTAAAAGTTAAAACAACAACGCAGAAAAGTTTAAATGAATAAGAAGATATTACTCGCTTCGATTTTCTGATTAAGAGAAAGAGAGGGAAGAAAAAAAAAAAAACTAAAGGCCGTGTTTGGAATTGATCCCTTTTTTATTTTTCATGTTTTTTGAGGAAAAAAAAAATGAAAACGTTTTCAAAACCGCATTTGACGCAATAAAAATAAAAAACAGAAATGAAAACAATTTTTTAGTTTAACGTAAAATGAGAGAGAAATGAAAAATAACTTTTAATCGTTTTTTATTTTTTGTTTTCATTTTCTCCTCTCTCGAGCAAAGAGACATTAATGAATTTTTTTACACAAACAATCTCTTGATAAAACTACCAAACGCATTTTTAAAAATAATTTCTGTCTGAAATTAAAAATATTTTTATTTTTATTTTCATATAAAAAATAATATCATTTTAAAACGAATTCTATTGAAATGATTTAACTAAGAATAATCTAGAAGAATGCCCTTCTATTAAGAGAGGATAAAATTTTTTGTCATTTCTTAAACACTAAAAAAGATTTTTATCCTTGCTTCTCTCATTGCATACTAACTTAAAGGGGCAGAATTCAAGCAGAATAACACAACTAAAAGGATGAAAAGATGACATATTTCCTAAGTTTCTCCTTAATTTGCCTGAAAAGGTTATGCATGTCAAGTATGTTCTTTTGGGTTGGGCATAATAATAACTAACATATTTGTCTAAAAAGTTATGAGAAAATTCGGTTACCACGAATAATAATTCCGATAACAGCAATACACAAACTGGTTAGAAGCAAAATGACTTTATAAGTCCTAATGTGACGATGCTCCTGGGCCAAGTATTTGAAGATAATGTTTCACATATACAAAAAGACTCGGAACCACAAAAGAAACAAGATGGACACTGGTTAATGGCAACACCCGAAGATGTGAAGAAAGAAAAGGGAGAACAAGCTCAACGGTGGCCACTGTTGACATCATGCCCCATTTCTTCTGCATCCTCAAATCGCTGATCGTTGATCTGAAGCTGCAATATTTACAAAAAGGTGATCAATGATTACTTCAGTCTTCCACCATTTTCAGATTAAATCGCCTGGCTCTCCTTGAAAAGTAACCGGCTCGTAGTTTACAGCTTAAAAATAAAACTTTCGATTGCAATTCTAAGCCATATACATTCGTTAGATTATCACTACCATTTAAGTCCTGTAAGATTAGTGCATCTCACGTCTAAATTCGTAGTAACTACAGCATAAGTTACAGAAGACCTAAGATACCAATGTGACGCATTTTCCATTAGTATAGAACACATCCAAAAGAAAATTAAGCAGCAGCTTAAAATGCAATTTCACGGGCGTACCTCTAGCACTGTACGTGCTAAGTCATGATCCCCATTAGATTGACCAATTGTGCTTGTTGGATTTTGAGACATAATCCAATCAGGATCTTCCCCTTCTAGAAATACCAAATTCAAACAAAATTATCATTCACCATAAGTACATGCCAGAAGCCATAAGTGTTAGCTGCTTTAATCATACCTGCAACTTCATCTCCAATCCGATCAGCACTAAAAATCCAATTATGCGCTTCTTCTTCTCCTAAAGAAGGCATAAACGAGTAGCATATTAGTGAAAGAATTAGAAGCAAAAGCTACTAAATTCAACTTCAAAGAAAAATATTCTACAAAACTTTCCTTTAAAAAAAAAAAAAATTGTTCTAACCTTCAATGGGTTCTGGATTAAGCTCTGCACACTCGCAGAATATCTCAAACAAGCGGTCCACTGTAGAAGAGAAAAGGATAATACATTTTATGCATCCCCATTAAGAAGAGAAGGTACTAGAAAACCAGAAATGATAGAATGGTAATATCACAACCTTTGAAGCATAAGATCAGATAAACGGATAAGAAACCAATATACCATCAAGACAGCAACCAAATTTTATAATAAATAGCATGGTGACAATCTTTAAACTGTATCTACGTTTGTGTGTGCTGCATGTGTGTGTGTGTGTGTTTGTGAGAGAGAGAGAGAGAGAGACATTGGCCGGCGTCTGAAGGAATAAGCCTCATCTCCGTTATCTTGGATAAATCTTGGGCGGCTCCATTGCACTCAGAATCTGAGTCCCCAGACTCATCCTCATCATCTCCTGTTTCAATCTTTCCCCCAAAATAGAAGAGAAAAAAAGTTCACATTAAACAAAAAAGGTCAATTCATCATCAAGAAACTAATCTTACATGTATTTACATACAGGTTACGAAGTCCTTGAATCTACTAACGCACACAGTGCAACCACCACATTAATCACCAAACAGTCAGTTTTTGGAACTTTGGGGTTCAACCAAAAAGAGCTATATCCAGATATAATTATCTAAACCAGGGATTTTTCACTTGATTGGCTACGATGTTATACATCATACAAATCAAACAAGGACCTTTGGCTTTCCAAGTTTCTGACTCTCCGTATTCAGATATCATTATCTACACCAGGGATTTTTCACTTGATTGGCTACGATGTTATACATCATACAAATCATATATTATATAATATATATTATATTATATTATATTACATTTTATATATTATATTGATAGATAAAATATTAGTGTTATATATATCATAAGGGTAAGTTTGTCAACATGAAAATATTTATGTTCCATTCCAAAAAATTCTTAAAATTACAACCAAAGAAATGAATTAATTTTCTTTTTCATTTTATTCCCATTACCATTCTCATTCCCATTTTCATTACCATTTCCCCACTACAATAAACGCACCCTTATGTTATAAATTATGTTTCTTTGTTGTCCTTTTCTCTCCATTAATATAGAAATGATGTTGTATTTTTTATTTTTATGGTTTTTTAAGAAAGAAAAAGTCTTATGTTGTTTTTAAATTTATTGTTACTTTTAATTTATATCTAGTTTCAATTGCATAAAATTAAATAAATTCGAATAAGAAAAAAAATATTTTTTCTTTCCCTACTATTCACAATTCAAGTCTTATTATACACCCAAACACAAACTCAAAAAGATTGTCATTCAAATCATAACTCAAATTACACAACCAGACAGAAACTCAAGTTACAACTTTATTTCAAGTTATAACTTAAATTCAACTCAAGAACTATACTTAAGTCATACCCCAAAAGAATATGCCCTGAGTTTGGATGTAAATGAACTAATGTCCCGTTTATTTCATTGATTTGAGTTTAAAATTTGAGTTTTGCTATAGTAAAAAGCTCTCACAAACAATCACATCTAACCCTTTTACTGTAATAAAAAGCTCATAACTCAAATTAAAAATTCGATTAGCGAATTAAACAGACACCGAGCCTTTTCTAAATACTTGTGTTTTGAAGACTGGAAACTGGAAACACAACCCTACTTGTCAGAGAGAGAGAGAGACCCTTGCAATTTTCAACTCGCAAAAGAAAAACAGAGAGAGAAAGAAGCTTGTTACTTTGTTTCTACAATGGCTTCTGGATCCTCTACTGATTTCGGATTTTTCAGATTAATTTGGGAAACAGCTCTTCAGAAACAAATGCTAGAAAGCAATCCCTGCCTTATTGTGGACGGATAGTTCTGATTATATGTTGCATATATGATCTAAAGAGTTTTATTTTTATTTTTTATTTTTATTTTTATTTTTAATGTTTTCATAATAGTCTAAACTATAAAGAATGTTATTATATAATCTGCATCAGATTTTTGTTTCCTTTGTCAAAACTCAAATGCATTCTTTTAAAACACCCGTTCTTGAAGCTTTTGTGAACAATAATAATCTGGCGTGTGTCTTTGGTGGGTTTATGAAGAAGAAACTAGTCCTAGATGGAGCTTTTATGTGCTTCATGGCTAAAGTAGGTGTCATTTTTTACTGCCTTATGTTCGTGGACATGTCTGTACTCACTGGACTTCACTCTCTCCCACCTTTATATTGTTCTGTAAGTGTATCTAGTTTATATCGTCTCACCTTATTCTGGTAGCCCATGTTTCAATGCTAGAAGCGATTTTGGTTAATTATGTGTTACTGTTGTTGCTTTCATTGGTTTTTCTTGAGTATCGTGTTTTTCTTGTTTTCTTTTTTGTTCCTTTTTCTTTTTGATAGGCCATCTATCAAATACACCAGCGTGTAATAAAACTGCAAGCGGAGGGATTTGTGTAGTGGTATTAATCACATGTGTGAATAGGAGTCTGGGTTTAGTAGTTAGTTAAACAGTTAAGTTTTGAGTTTGTACCGGGTCTTCTGAGAATATAAGAGGGAATGTGAGAGACTAGCGTTGGTTAGGAAATTAGTTGTGCTTGTTACCAGGAAAAGACTAGGATTTCCAAGCAGGGGACAGCCAGCAGTCTCTCGAAGAACTACTGTCCTAGGGACTCTGTAATCTGCCTTAGGGCTTCATTTTCATTCAACATAGTGTTTAATTCAATGAATTTTTCTTGCAATTAGTCTGCTCCCAATTTGTTTCTGGTCTTGTAACTTTTCCTATGGTTCTGATACTTTCTTTATGGGATAACAAGATGGGAAAAAGAAAATGAGGAATGAAAAGAACTCTTCTGTTTTTTCTTAGATGCATGTACCATTAAACCTAGAAAGAACTTAATCAAGAGAAGCTAATAGAAACATGGTTGATCTGGTTCCATAGGAAACTCATGAACTTACTGACTTGGTAAAATGAACGTAGAAGCCTGTGCGTCACTATTTAATCTTTCATTCTTGTCATAATCTTGAGGCATGCACTTTATTTTAGTACTAAACGTTACTGCATACGCCATGTCATTTCACCAATTTAAATTTAGAATTTGAGTTTTGTTACAGTAAAAAGTTCTCAGAAACAGTAACATCTAATTTTTTTGTTACAGTAAAAAGCTCTCACGTAAAGTCACATCTCATCTCAACTCGAATTAAAAACTCGAATCAGCGAACTAAACGGCCCTTTAGTTATGGAATGTATATTTCAAGATCGAACATAATGTTGGATTTTTGCAAGATAAAATCTGAGTCCACTTGTGGTGTAATATCTTCTCGCAAAAGTATTTTTCCACTGCAATCTTATACAGTCTTCATGCACGCCAATTTTTTTTGCTAGTTTACCCAACAGGAAGATCACCACGTATACTTCTCCAAGTTTCCTTCTGCGAGATAACATTACACTGCAGAATCTTTTTTTTTTTAAATGGGGAAATTAGTTTCATCCTTTTACTTTTTGATGGTTTACGCTCAATTCTGTATCTGAAAAATGCTAGCTCTGATGTATGCAGGAACTTCCAAAAAACTTTGTGAGGCTATATGGCAAAAATCTATCTAGTTCAGTGTTTCTGAGACCTCCTTGTGGTTCAAACTGGAAAATAAATTTGGAAAATAGAGATGAAAAGGTGTGGCTGCACCAGGGTTGGCCAGAATTCGCGAAGCACTATGCCTTAGACTTCGGGCACTTCTTTTTCTTCAAATATAAAGGAAATTCTCAATTCCAAATTAGAATTTGTGATACCTCTACTCGTGAGATACATTATCCTTCTATTCCTGCCGATCTGGATGAGCCTGATGTTTATGGGCCCAAGAAGAGAGTAACTGTAGGTGATGATGATTCGCTTCAAACCTTTGACCGCTCATTATCATTATGGGCCCAAGAAGAGAGTAACTGTAGGTGATGATGATTCGCTTCAAACCTTTGACCGCTCATTATCTGAGGAGGAATATATGCCATCATCTTTTCCAACTCACAAGAGAATAAGAGCCAATACCAGTGATGAATCTATAACAACAGCCAGTGGAGATAAAATCTACCACACAAAATGGGAGGAAACTCCTTAGCACACAATCGCATACTCCAACGGTTAAATCTAAGTTAATTACGTTCAGTTGCTCGAGTAAAATAAAGTGCAGAAAGTAAAGGAACACACAATATGATATCGCAGTTCGGTGCGCACATATACTCTGCGGGACCACGCCCAGACAGTAAACAGTTTCACTATGATTTAAGAATTACAACCTTGACGGACTTATTCACTCAAGGACTCTCTCCGAGACTATAACGCCGCTGTGATGAACTCTCACAATGACACTGTTTAGCGTGTACCACATGTCTTCACCTTTAACTGCTAAACTCCCTTCAGTTGTTCATACTTTCAATGAGAAAAAAACATAAACTACAGATTGTTCTCCTTAAGCACCGATTCTCTATTACAAGACTTTTTCCTATAGTCAACCCACATTTTCCTACAGAGCCACTTCCTATATAAACTCATTCCACGTATCTCTTTTTTCAACTTTTGAACCTATATTCAGTTACCAAAAAATCATCATCAGCTTTATCTGTAATATCTAATATTCTCTTAGCCATCTCCACGTCAAAACCTTATCTTTCATTATAGTAAGTTATCTTTGACTTTTCTTTGACTAAGTCAAATTTCAAGTTCTACCAGCTCAAGCTTAATTGTGTAACTCATGTGAATACATACATATATATATATATATAAATCCGAAAATAACTTGATCTTCATGCAAGCTTTATCTCTCATTTAAATTCAGATAACCAATGCCTTATCTTCTTTTGACTAATGTTTTATCATTATCTCTCAAAAGCTCAACTCAACAAAATCTGCAACTTTAACTTCAAATCTGATTCTGAATCTTCTTCTACAATATAAAATCTTCTTGAACATGTTTTTTAAATTTTTACAAGATTGTCAATAAATAGCCAACTAATAAAAATACCTAACAATCTCCCCTTTGGCATTTTTTTTTTGGCAAAACTAAGAAATGATCCTAAAAATTCAAAAACGTAAAAAATTACATTGTTCTCCCCCTTTTTGACAAAAATAAGCCAAAGACACAACGAAAAAAAAATAAAAAAATTCACACCCTAGACACGTCTTCAGCAGCTTACTCCCCCTGAATCTTCTCTGTGTTTTACTCCCCCTGAATGTAGCATTCTTCCATGTATAATGTTCTTAACACCTGTCAATCGCTTAGTGCAACCACCATCACTATACCCACAATCATTAGTATATGCTTCTAAAGAAGTATAAGCCTTATGACACCTCAAATTAGATTTTCTTACCCACACACGTCTAGAAAAATTATTTTGCACATCAATCTTCACATTAGGTGTCTTCTTTGAGTTTGCGGAATTTGGTGGATTAATAAACATACCTTTCTTCAAAGCATTTAAATACTTGTAGCATCTTGGTCTTATGTGGCCAGGTAAACTGCAGTAATGGCATGTGGGGACAAACGTTCTATGTCGAGGGGATGAGATAGTAACTTTCTTACTGAAGGAAGTCGGAAGCTTAGGGGCAGGC